AAAATAAAAAGGGGTCAGGTAGGAAGGCTGACTTAAAGGCCGAATAACAATGAAAATCAATAGAGCGAAAAATAATAGTACATCGAACTTGGTTTTTCAATAGTTGAATTTACCAAGGAAGGTTTAATGTGACAACAAATTGTTTATGAATACATAAAGGTGGTTTAAACTTCCTAATAGCTAAGGCTTCAACAAATTTCAGGATCCCTCCCCAACATGTTTTGTAAATAGGTGTAAAGGAAGTAGCCACATCAATCTTGTGACCTGTCTCAACGATATGTTTAGCGATCGAAGAACTTGGACGTCTGCTACCAACATTTATAGGTTCAGGTGATTTAATTTGCTTCTGAAGCCACTTTGGAATATGTTCCGAGGCCCTTACTTGCATGGATCTATTAGTCCTCCCTATGTATGTGTCACCACACGTACATTTGAATTGGTAGATACAATGGGATGTGACATTATCGTTCACATGCTGTGGGGGTTTGGGGGAATATAAGGGCTTCGTGGTTTCGATTACTCGAACCCTGGCTGCATAATAAGTCCTTCTAACAGCAGCGTTAAGTCTCTGCTTAAGGATTGCACTCTGAGAGTCACCTTTGTACGGAAGGCTGATGAAGACATCCTTCTTTGGGACTGACTGCAGTTCTAGTTTTGACGCTCTGCTGATTTTGTTCTGCCTGATAAATGTTGATGGATAGTTATTTTCCAACAAAATATCGGTCAGTGTTCCTCTTTCATCTTCTAAAGTATCCTCGGTGCATATTCGTTGAATTCTGCTGAATAGGCACCTTACTAACGTTCGCTTGTACTGAACTGGGCAAAAGCTATGGTAATTCAGATATTGCCCTGTCCATGTAGGTTTTCTGTAGATAGATCGTTTTATGGATCCATCCTGCCTTCGACTAATTAATATATCTAGGAACGGCAAGCAGTCATCTTCCTGTCTTACACATGTCAAAGATATGCTGTTCTGTACTTCGTTTAGTCGGTTTAGAATTGAAGTAGCCTGATTTGAGTTTTCACAACATAACATGTATACAAGCTGTAGCTGATAGTTCGACACGTCTATCAGAGATGACCAAACAAAGGGAATCATTTCTTTTAGTGTTATTCTATAAATACACACAAACAAGCAGGCATAGACTTGAATCATGATCTTCAATGAACCTTTTGAAAATATAATCAAGAAACTGCTTATACAGGTTGCCAAACAATTCATATACCTCTCATAGTCTTGTAAATATAGAACAGAATGAATTTGGATCGTCCTATCGAAATGCATTATATTCTGGTTCTGAATATATTCAGCCTAATTGATTGAAAGTATCATCTAAGCAGTTAACTATGTAATTATAAAAGAACGTAGCGAAAAAGTAAGAAGCATACAATGCTATTATTTTCTCTGAATTCTTTAATTTTGTATAATAACACCCTTGTGTCTATATCTCTGTACTGGAATAAAGACGTAGGCGTACAGAGAGGTTGTTCCTTCTTCTGAAGAATGGTTATTATGAAGCCTAAAAGCACTTGAAAATCATTGATGCTAATATAGTCATTATTAATAAAATTAGTACGATATTAGTATTACTACTACTTGAAATAAATTCATGAATGTAGATTTAATAAAGTAGAAAACAATTTAATGTGGAGGTAGAAAAGATTGTTCTTAGAAAAGTGATGATTGTATGGGTAATTATGTAACAGTTAGCTGTGAAATCGATTGAACTTTGGTTATAGAATAAAAGCCACACCCTATACATCCCTCACTTATCAACTCTGCTATTACTGGTTTCAGTGATGTTAATCACAACTAACCTCCTTGGTTATCTTGTCTATATATCTCTCCCTATGTATATAAATCTATCAGCTATAATACACATCTGAGATTGTAGATGATAAATATAGCATGGTGTTTTCAGTGTGACTATCTGAGTTAGCCATTGTGTTGGTTGGTAGATTGGTATTATTGATACTGTATGGTGATAAAAGGTGGAATAAAAATCTGGGTAGCTGCAGGATTCGAACAAGCGACCCTCAGGTTATCGGCAGGGTACTCAACCAACTGAGCTACGAGAGTCAAGTGTTGACCAGATTTTAGTTTCACCTCAATCACCAGGGGTTAGGCCTAAGTGTCAGAAGGTCGCTGGTACGAATCCTGCAGGGACCCAGATTTTCAATTTACCAAGTGTCAATAATATGAGTCTGCCAAGCTATGGCTATCTCAGATAGTCACACTGGTGATCAGTATAATGCTCCACATCTTTAAATCAGTTCAACTGGATTGAAATGAGAAATATTGGTTAGGCAGCCATTGTGAATACTATGAACGGATAGTTATGTGACACGAGTTTACGTGGCAGTTAAGAAAAACACTTGGTGGTTGAGGTGAAATAAGTATCTGTTCTGTAGCTAGGCTCTCTAATACCTTGAAAACTTTGTTTTGGTTTGACTCAACATTAAGGGTTTTGATATCCTCCACCCTACTCGGACAAAGATATTACTGTCTATTTTTACGACGGAGTGATTTTTGAACTATTTAATGCAGGATGAAACAAAGCTTCTGACAACCTTTATCACAGAATCCCCATCAATATGCCATGAAATCGTTTATGGTTGCTGGAAGATGGCTCATTACAGAAATACTCGTGTTTGCAGAAGCCTAAGCTACTTTTTTCCGAAATTTAGGCTTCCATGACTGGAAGACAGTGATGATTATGCTAACATCTTCAGTATGAGATGACTTCTATCAGTGTTTGTTGAGTTCGATTTCTTGTTGAACTTCTATCTTATTTTCATCCACTCCATTTCGTAGACAAGGCTTGTTATTCGCTACAAGTATTAATTGGCTATTAATAGACTCTACTGTAAATTACTTTTCTATTGATCTTGGTGATCCATTCCATGTTTATTCTACTAAATATTTAATATAAGGTTGGTCATCTCTGCAACTTTTCACTCCAGATGGCGCTTTAAATAGTATAGCACACTGATACCTTATTCTTGGAGTTCATTCATACACATGCGTCATCGTATGTCTGCAAAACATCCAGCCAAAGAGTTCAAATACAATTTATTCTTTCATCTATTTCTCAATTTTACCACATTCACTATATATAGTTCGATTCCAAATGAGTAGTTAGAATATTCTCACTTTGTCTATGTCATAGAAGTTTGTTAACTCAAGAAAGCTATCTATAAACTAATAAGACTGACCACAAGTTAACAACTTTTAGAGCAAAGATGTAAGCTCGAACAGTTTTTACAAATGCTAGTTGTCAAATTGAAAAATCGAAAGTCATTAGTTTTCTTAGTTCACCTAATAGATCACTAAATCAAATAGCTGTAAACTGATGGTTCCAATTCACTTAAGACCTAGATTATCCTTATGCATGATGATCTGTTCAAATTCAGTTATCTCATATTTAATCATCAGTAAAGGTTAAATAATCAAAATCTATATAGTATGACTTCCGGGATCTGTACTATCATAAATTGCTGTTTGAAATTTCGAAACTTCATTTTCCATAAAATCTAAAACCACTCACTTCTAACGAACATAGAGTTATGATACCAGCTAGCAGTGGAATCCAGGACAATTATTCTGTCTTATTTATGACGTGTTTCACCTATCTAGGAAGCACTGTTTCAACTACAGGCGGGACGGACGAGGAAGTCAAAGTCAGAATCGGAAAAGCAAGACAGGCGTTCATTAGCCTGAAACCAGTGTGGAGATCTTCTGCACTCAGCATGCGGAACAAGATACGGATTTTCAACACCAACCCAGTCAAGTCAGTGCTCTTGTATGGCTCAGAGACTTGGCGCATCACGAAAGGGATTTCCAATAAACTACAGACATTCATCAACAACTGCTTACGCTCACTCGCTACTGAAGACCAGATGGCCAGAATAGTGAGAATAAGCAACAAGGAACTCTGGCTGGATGGGAACGAACCAACCAAGAACCTATCACGCAACAAATATGCAGAAGGAAGTGGAGATGGACTGGCCATGCACTGAGAAGGCCGACTGGGGACATCACACGTCAGACCAGTTGCTCGAGTGGAATCCCCATGAGAAGCGACGAGTTGGACGTCCGAGGGTGACATGGAGAAGATCGTGCGAGGAGGAAATGAGAGGTTGTGGGCTGTCATGGAACCAGGTTCAAAAGATCTCAGAGAACAGAGTTCACTGGAGACGTGCTACTGAAGCCCTATGTTCCACTAGGAACCCAAGGGACTAATAATAATAATAATTTATGACGTGTCATTTAAGTGTACCTCCTTCCCAGTAAGGGATTTTGTTCCCACCAAGACTCGGGCTAGGGATCAATCATTTCAGATGTCAAAGCTTTTTCCTCTAGATCACAGAGTCACAACAACTACTCCTTGAAAGTATTCGCATTATCCAGACATCCGCACAGAAGCCTATATACCAACAATGATTGACCAATTCCGTTCAAACAACATAGGAGATTTTTGAGGCTTAGCACAGATAAATTTGCATTTCATTAATATAGCTGAAATTCAAAGTGTAACACAGTTTTTCAGGAAAGTAAAATAACAGCGTGGAATAAATGTTTTACACTTAAAAGGATTTATATCGTATTACCAAAATTTAATCCAGTATTATTTTCATAAAGTGAACATAAATATGTTTACATTATGAAAACAACATTTGCATATATATATATATATATATATATATATATATATAGTTTATTAAACAGTGGACAAATGTTTTGGCCTAGAGCTGGCTCTTCACATATATACATTCTGACAGACGTGAGTAAGTAGGAAGAGAGGAGATTTGTTACATTAGTAATGATTCATTTTTGAAATGAAATACTTAAGGAGAAATATGTTTGATAGCTCATCAGAATATATTATGGATATACTCTTGCCTAGCCACACATACATACACGAATTCTTGCCAAAGAGACAAGCTCTGACTTTATTTTCGAATGAATTTTTTTCCTTGTTGTTTTTCTTATTTTTCAGATATGAAAAGATCTGAGTATTTTCAACTTATCAATCAAAAAATTAACGATGGTATGTTCAAGATTGTAGAGTTTTTTATCACCGTATATTTTAACTGTATCTATGAATTTATGTTAGATAATACAAAAAAACGTCAAATTGGCTTTCGTACAGAATTGCGCTATTGATGTTTCAAGTTTGCAATTATATGGCACTTGTATACCATCATCATCATCATCATCATCATCATCATCAACATCATCATCATCATCATCAACATCATCATCATCATCATCATCATCATCAACATCATCAACATCATCATCATCATCATCAACATCATCATCATCATCATCATCATCATCATCATCATCATAGATGCCGTCAACGTGAATATGATCAGGCTTGTTTGAAGTCATCCTGAAAAATTTCTAGAGTAAAACTTAGATATATATAAGGATAAAATGAAGATTATCCACTACTGTCTCCTAGCATCAAGTATTAATTTAACCATCTTCTCTTACTGCTATTCCAAGTTGACGTAACAAAATATGCTCTATTGAAACGATAAATACTTGCATTATCTCAAGCCTTTTTGTATTCATGTTGTTAAGGTAACAATGATGCTAAAACTCTATAAAGATATCAATAGAATATTTTTGTTGTTTATAGAAAACATATTTAAAAACTACCATTTAATAATTCATTTCTAACCACTGTCTATTGTCCAATGGAATGTCAATCAAACAAAATTAGTTGACATCTAGGTAACAAACTAGGGTTTTCTGATAATTTTAGTGTAATTTTGTATCATCACTAGAGATCAGTCGGTTATTACTTGAGAATTAAGTAGTATTGGACAGCTTTCTCATAACGTTTGATACGTATCTTGATGCGAAGTGTTTGGAAATTGTTGAATTTACACACATATCAAGTGGAATAAGTAAATTCTTTGAGTAACTTATTGTAGAACACTACAATCGTAGTCTTATTCTAAATGGAAGTAAATTGTGTCAGGTGCTAAGATCCTTGAGAGTGAAAGAATGTGGATAGGTATCCAAATCAAGTTGAGATTTAATTTAGATACTGGGTAAATGATATTTATTCGTTTATATGTGTATTTGGCAATGAATAAAAGATAAAACAAGGTTGTTTTTCTAAAGTCTGGTTGATCATTTTTAGTAGCTTCATCAGAGTTTATAATGGCTAAGCATATGAACTCAAATCAAGTTACCATATATTAACTTAGATACAATAAATTCCAGTTTATTATATTTTCGATAAAGAAATTAGCATCAAGTTGTGAAACGTCATCCACCAGGAAATATAAACACCAGAATAACAACACTGAGTTTCTTTTCTATGTCTTGGTATTTCATATACTCAGACGGTAAGGACTTTTAATGTGAGTATTGCTTCAAATTGTAGTTTAGCTCGAAATTATGCAATCTCAGGTGATAACATATCTCAATGTCTCGCAACATGGACCGACTAAAGTGGGTAGAAGCACCAGTAAGCAATAATAACTTCTGATCCTCTTCATAATGGAGGAAACCTAAAAACCTCTGCTTCACAATAATTCTCAATAATCCCTTATGATCAGCTTCACATCTTGGTCACATTCTTCTGAATGTGTAATTAACACTAAGAAGTTATGGTAATACTGGTTGCTGTTCCCAATTCTCTTACGATATAGACTTTTATCGAACTCAAAGATAAGTCTGTCAACAAGAAATGAATTTCAGAAGTCTTTGTCAAAAACACTAGAGTGTAATAAATAACATTTTAACAAGAAAAGTATAAAAGTTCTTGATCTTTCAAACGTCTTCTTAGCTTTACGGTGATAATTATTTTGAATAGTTAGTAGCCAGGATCGGAAAAGCAAGACAGGAGTTCATCAACCTGAAACCAGTGTCGAGATCTGCATTCAGCACGAAGAACAAGATCCTCATTTTCAACACCAACGTCAAGTCAGTGCTTCTGTATGGTTCAGAGATTTGGCGTATTACGAAAGGTATTTCCAACAAACTACAGACATTCATCAACAACTGCCTACACTCTCTCGATGCTGAAGATCAGATGGCCAGAATAATAAGAATAAGCAACAAGGAACTCTGGTCTGGTAGCGAACCAAAGAAGTAAGAATCTATCGATCAACAAATATGCAGTGGAAGGAAGTGGAGATGGATTAGATTGGGCATAAACTGAGAAGACCATTTGGGGACATCACTAGAATGGAACCCAAAAGTGGAAACGACGAGTTGGGCGTCCGAGGTGAGGTGAGGGTGACATGGAGGAGATAGTGTGCGGCAGAAATGAAAGCTTGTGGGCAGTCTTGGTGCAAGGTTTTGAAGACTTGAGAGAAGAGAGTGGAATGGAGACATGCTAGTGAATCCCTATGTTCCATTAGGAACCCAAGGGATAAATAATGTAATAATAATAATCTTCAATAAGAAAACCAACAATATCTACGAAACGGAAAAACTGAAACTGATCAAAACTTAGAAGTTGACTGAAAATGGGATCTTTTTCATTCTTTCAGAATATCAAAACTGTCTGCTTTGAAAGTGATTTCTTCTGCAGTAATATTACCCAGTGAACATATATGGTTAGGAATCCTTTACGGAGTTTCAATTTCTTCCTCTAAAGCACTACGATTTCGTATACTCAGATGTTTAGTTAAATTGCTCCCAATTGGATTAGTCATAGTGAATATAGCATTCTCACTTTTGTTACTGTGATAGTAAAGACCACCTTAGACCAGAGTAAATCAAGAAGGTGATTGTATTTACAAGTTGAAACAATGGTAACCTACAAAATCCATTTCATATTTCTATTTTGTCGATGAATTCAGTAGCTAATCACCAATAAGCTTAGTTGGTTACGAACCTGCCATGGTCAGAACGTTTGTTGACTCTTCAGTCTTAATTATTTAATTACTGAAGGTAATTGGATGAACAATTCTAATTTATGCTTATTGGTCGAATAAAAAGCATCGTTTAGAAATTTAACCAAGGAGCAGTCTGAGAATGAATATACAACATAAGTGTACCATATTTTATGGTTTCTAAATTCAGTTACACTTCACGATACATCTTCAAGGTAATAAAACGCTAGCCACATAAACATATTGAACTTGTACCTACACTTAAGATGCTAGATATGAGTTGAACAGCTAATATTTTCCGACTTCAAATTTAACTGAAGTCCAAGGTCTTCGGTGCTAACAAAGTTTATATTGGATAGTTGGAGGCAATCGACAGAAAACCCTGGACATTAATTTTGTGCTTGCTGGTACTGGTCAGCAAGGTATATCTGTACCCTTGAACTTATTTCCTAGTTTTGCAGTCAAAGACGTTGTTATCGAGCTCTACAGGTCGCGAATGACCTTTTGTAAGAATGAATGAGATACACCGAATAGTCAACAATTAGGACTAAATAAGCTGAAACTGGTTACTCTCTAGTGCGGTTAACAAGATGTTGAATCAAAGGGGGTTCCTTCTAGTGATAGTAAGCAGCTCTTAGATTTCATAAAGTAAAGAATTAAGTTACCGTTTGCTTACTAGTAAATAAGATTCATTTAAACAACGATTTTCAGAATCACTCATTAACCAATGAGTTACATCATTTATATATGAGCTACTGAGATGGATGTTGTTGATGAGAATACATTTATATAATATGTAGTGGAACGTTTTTATCAAAGGCTATAAGACTAGATGATCAACCAAGTTATGTACAAAAACAGGGTGAAGTGGGAAAATCCAAAGAAAAATTCAGTTAGAAAACGAATAAGCTTGATCCTTGTAAACAAGATAATAATACCATAATATAATATATATATATATATATATATATATATATATATATATATATATATATGTATAATACCATTACTATTCTTTAGATAAGCGCTATTACAAAACGCTCATCGTTTTAAGATGAAACTACCTAGAAAAAAGTTAAATGATCAAGCTAGTACACTGCAATCGCTGAACTCAAACGAAGTGATATAGGAACAATATACTCCTTGTCACACTTAGTACTTATGAATTCTCTACTCCCAGATTCTAAGATTGTATACAGACAGAAACATTGAGTGAAACTATGATAGGAACATATTTAAAATATGTACACATATATATCTGATAATAAGTTCATATTTTTTTGGATACATCAGATTTAATCTCACTTAGGTTTCACATTTAAAATAAACATGTCATATAATTCAGTTTTAATTTCTAATCCTGCTTAGTTTTCATCATGATACCTGGCGTTTACAAGCGAATTATATCAAACCCTTAAATCTATCCAACTGTGCATTTTTTTTCTACTCATAACCGGATATAGTCTCTATGTGTGTGTGTGTGTGCGTGTGTGTGTGTTATCCTCTCTCATAAATTCATCATCCATTTACTGGGTGGTTAAGCAATAAAAAGGTTTTTAGAAATCATTGTTCATAATAGAATGAATGAGCAGTTTTTTTGATGCAAAAAAGGTTTTTCAAATTGAAGAAATTCACTGAAGGGGACTCTCTTCAAGTAATTTTATCCTTAAGTTGTACATTAGTATATTTATTTATATATGATGTTTTAAGACTGGAATCTATGAGAAAAATTCTTATTGTGGATAAGAAAAATAATAATTAAGACGGTTATAGTTATAGTAATGTTTCTACGTGAAGGTACAGAGACTGAGTGATAACAAAACGGAATTACACAAGATCCTAACATCGTTTATACAACTCATATTACTCATAAAGATGGTTAAGCTAATATACAAAAGATGAGGAAAGTTAATTGAGATAAAATGAATTAGTTTTCTTTATAAATAGAAATTTTTGAAAAGATTCAGTGAAGTAACTCCAAGGATTATTCAATATATGAATAATAATAATTATAACCGTGATACAAGACAGCAAAGATTAGTAGATATATAAACCAAGTTGAGATTTGGTGGTTTAAAAAAGCTAACGTATTACGTAAATGATATTCATTATTTTGGAATTTGTACTTCCAAATCATTGTAAGACAAAATAATAAAAAAACTTGACAAGTGTTCTGTATGAATAATTCTGCGGTGTGAAATTTTTGAACAAAGATGATATCCGTATGTAGAGTATATGTGAAAAGTGTATGAACTACAGATTGACATTTTAAGTTGTTAATCATCGTAGACTAACATCAGTTGGATGAACAAAGGAAACTTCGTAGCACTGAACAGCTGTTTCTTCCTAGTATGGGACCTCTCAGCAGTGCACACCCGCAACTTCCCCAGAGATCAAGCCCGCAACCTTCAGGTTCCATGGCCAGCACCTTACCATTGAGCCACTGTGTCAGAACCCATTGGTGCATGATGTAGCTCAACCGCCATCCAGTGTCATCGTTGAGAAACTGTCCTCACCACCATCAAGCTTTGCCCCCACCAGTCACGGGTGCGCACTACTGAAGAGTCCCATACTAGGACGAAACAGCTGTCCAGTGCTACCGGGTTTCATTTATTCCTCCAACTGATATCAGTCTACGATGAATAACAACTTGAAATATTTCCGAATCCCCACAAACCCATTAAAGTTCAATTAGATTAAGATTTGTTTGTACACATGTTCTTATAACTCTTACTCATGTATGTTGGTTATATCACTGTGTAGGGGTGGGAAAGGGGTTGAGACCAGATCAAGCTACTTTTTATTTCATCATTCCCTCCTAATTAGACAATTTTGATTCCACTCTATGTAAAAAGATTGTATTATGAGAGGCTCCTCATAATTTCTAAAGCCTTTTTATATAATTTCAATATTATCAAAATCGACCTTGTAACCTGAAATTATAGTCTGTGGTCAAAGTATTTTCAAGCTTTTTTTAAGCCCCACTGGATTTCTAGGGGGGCTGGATAGAAGTCGTTCGGTATTTATTTCTCCTAATTTTGATTTCACGAGGAAGTTCAACATGTATATACTGCATCGCACTGTGAGCCTTTTATTTTATAGACGCAATTAAAAGGAATCTTGTCCTTCAAATGGAATAAGGTGCTCTACAATGTGTTTGATACCCTGTAGAACAATATGATATTGTATTTGTTGAGCACTCTTCTAATTTCATCCAAGTTTGTTTTCTGTATGGGATGATGATTGTCAATGATATAATAGTCTGACAAAGAGAGGAAACAAAGCAAAATGAGGACACATATAAACAGAAAGATTGTACATATTAGGAAATCGGCAGGAAATCCTGTACCTAGACTTTGTGCTTGTTGGTACCCGTCAGTAAGGTTTATCTGCAACTTAAAGGTTACTGATGTCCCCTCTGTGATTCGAGCCTCGAGCCACCAATGTAGGGGACTGTATATAATTCTTTATCTCAAAAAGCTTGGGCTTTAGTTCATGAGTAGCCTAGGAATTAGATGTTTTAGGGAATTGGAAACCAAGAAGACACGAATAAGCTGTGTGTAGTGCTGAAACAACTTTAAAATCGTTGTTTGGGTCCGTTAAATGATTTGAATCAATTAGCTGTTATAAGACTGGACTACTAATGCGTTTTATTTTCTTTTAACTTGTTTCTCAGTAAATTTTAATTTAACCAAACTAAAATTTACTTCCTTTTTTCGAAGGAAGAATTTTGAAAAATGGGACAGATTTTAAGTCTGTTTCAATTAATGAAATAACTGGAGTACATTCTGTTAGTTTTTTAAGATACAAGACTGTTACGTTGACAAATAAGCATCAATTTCTACCCGTATCCTATTAACTAACAATGAAGCCCAGAAAGTGTGTTGCATCCTATTTTGGACTCTTCACTCCACTTAGTCATGTTGTTCTCACTGAGACTCGAGCTCAGTGCCCATTGCTTCAAACGTGAAGGCTTTATCCACTCCTAACTTTTGTATTACCACTTGACTGATGTAAAATGTTCATTTCTATGCGGTTACACTTGAAATCAATATCTCAGTCTATGTTAAATATGTAAGTCTATGTTCTTTAACATTGCCTAGTGGTATATACAATCAAGTATGTGGAGTGTCTAAGACATGGATACTACTAAAATTTATGAACTCACAAAATCTTGCTGGTTTTCGTATTCGTTGCTTGTTTTAAATAAACTTTTAGCATCCAAAATGAAACTTCTGACAAAATGATGTTTTCGATACCTTCGTAGGTTTCGTAAATACTGTCGATATCCAGTGAATATGGAGATGTAAATATCTTCATGCATGAAATTAAAATAACTCTATATTTTGGAGACTTTTAATACAGTACTCAACAGTGTATAACATATCTAGTTAAAATCAATTTCAATAACGTTCATTTTTGTTGTCCACATTTATTTATCCGTTTTTATAAAACTATTTTCGTTCCAGTACCCGCTGCACCAGTATTTCTCGTAGAAGAATGCATCTCTGAACGTAATGTTATAACTCTTGTATGGCAGCCTACAACGTCGATACCTGTTGAACGTTATACACTCGAGTTGGATGATGGGGCAGGTGGAAATTTCAGAGTTAGTTTATACTTATACTACTTTTGTATATACTGCTTATGTATATATATATATATATATATATATATATATATATATATATATAAGGCTGTGCTAGACTTGGAAATTTCCATTGATAATACAGCCTTGTGAATGGTGGACATATGCAATCACTTTCCTACAACAGCTTGATAGCATTTTAAATGAAGATAGGAGTAAGACAAGGTTGCTGCCTACTATCACCCATGATCTTCCTGATTGTGGTCCACTGGTTCATGCAACGAACAGTAAAGAGCGAGAAGATGAGCATACGCTGGCTGGAACGATGAAAAGACCCCAGAAGAAGATGATTTATGTTTAATGTCTTGTCGCACAAGCTCAAAGATCTACAGACAAAAACTAACAAGTTGACAGAAGAGATAGGGCAGCGAAGACGGGACTTCAAGTGAATGTAGAGAAAATAGAGGTGATGAAGATACCCAATTAATAACAGCATCAACAACAAACACCAGTCACCATGAAGGGGAGAAACCTAAAGGAAGTAGTCTCTTTCAGGTACCTAGGCATCATCGGTTCACCTACAGGCGGTGGCACAGACGAGGATGTCAAATCCAGCCAGGATACGAAAAGCAAGACAGGTTTTGATCAACCTGAAGTTAGTGTGGAGACCTACCGCACTCAACATGTGGAACAAGATCCAGATTTTTAACACCTACATCAAGTCAAGTCAGTGCTTCTATGTGATGGTTGAGATACTTGTCGGTGCATTACGAAAAGCATTTCCAACAAACTACAGACATACATCACATCAATAGCTGCCACCTACGGTCACTCGATACTGACGCTTAGGGTCAGATGGCCAGAATAATAAGAATAAGCAATAAGGAACTCACTCTGGCCTGGTAACGAACTAACCAAGAACCCGTCGCCCAACAAATATGCAGAAGAAAGTAGAGATGGATTCGACACACGCTGAGAAGACAATTTGGGGACATCACTTGTCAGGCTAGGCCAGGCCCTTCAGTGGAAGCCAAATGAGAAACGACGAGTTGGGCATCCTAGCTGAGGGTGATATGGAGGAGATCATGTGAGGAAGAAATGAAAGCTTGTGGGAAAACGTGAAGCCAGGTTGAAAGGACTGCAGAGAACAGAGTGAAATGGCGACGTGCTACTGAATCCCTATGTTCCACTAGGGACCCAAAGGACAAATAATAATATTATAAAATTCTATTATACTGAATTCAGAGTTGTTGTGCAAATTAAAAATTGCCAATCAAACAGTCATAAATTCCTATTATTAATTGGCCAATAAGCACTGAAACTGGATCGTTAAAAATTTGATCCCGGTCAATGAGTCATCGTCTTTGACCATGATGCTGTAGTCCAATAGTCTAGGGCGATGAATTTCGGTCATGGGCACGGAGCCGCACCCTGTTTCACTTACTGGGGTTTAAACAGCCAGGTGGCTCTCACACAATAGATGTGACTCGTTATCTGTTGTAAAAATGTGCACAAAGTCTGTGAGTGAATTTCGATTCGATTTCTTCTCTCATCAGTTGGTGAAAGTACTTTTTATTTCATCTCAGTGTAAGCTCATACATAATCCTATAAAATATGCATCAAAAAAGTGAAGAATTTTGGCATATCTGAATTTCAATACTGGGACATTATGGAACCTATGACGGTTTTGTTGTTGGTTGATTGAATCAAGTAAGGGTATTCCAAGCGTTCAGCAACCCAGCTGTTCTCTGATCTTTAGTAGTTATTGTTTTCTGTTAACTCTGCTTTTCTAGCAGGATATTTCCCAGGTTATTCCATCGAAATACATGCATTGTTTAGAAACCACCTACTTCACATTACCGTATTAAAAATTATTTGAGCAAGTTTAAGTGTGATTTCTGTCAAACAAGGATACACTTTGATTATAAATATTCAGAGAACATGGCAATTTTATTCCTGTATCTCAGACTCACTTAATAAATTACGCATATTCTTGAGAAGGGATAGAAGGGAAAAATCATGTGTCATAATAGATCAAGGTTTTGTTTTATACACTCAAAAGTAACACAGATGATCATTCGTAAATAAATTCCATTCTAAGTTGGACTAACATTAGGTCCAAGATCATTGAGTCCATAGTTATCCGATGCCTAGATGCAGCTTGAGAACAGCAAACTTGAGAAGACTAGGGAGGTTTCAGATTTAGACGCACCGATCAGATCCCTACACTTCCGACAGGTCCTGGAACACAGGTATACTTACCGACAGCCAGTGATTCCCATATTTCTTGACCTGATGGTGACATTCGACTCTGTCGACCAAGAGGTGTTGTGCCAGTGTCTGCATGTGAAGAGTGAACACAACACATATAAAATTAATCAAAGTTCCTTACTCGAACTCATGCAGCCGTGTAAAGGCTTGTTCCTTTTCTGCTTCTTCAAAGATATAATACTGAACATTACCTTAGGTGTCAGGACTGGTCTGCAACTACTCCCAGTCTAACGGTAGGAAGTGTAGTGGTGGAATGTGTCAACCACCTCATTTGATTGCGAAGTTGCATCAGTCCGAACGTTGTGGTCACTGATAAAATCGCAGTTGGAATATAGAAGGCTCGTTTCTCATTTATCACCTTGTGTCATCCCTGGTGGCAACTAACAAGATATCCGACTACCTGTTGAACGACGAATATACTGTGCTGTAGTCTATTATGTCCTTTTATACGGCTGTGAAACATATGTGTTGGACGTAGATGACGTGAAGCGGTTACAAGGTTGTTATCACAGGTGTCTTCGCAGCATTGCTCGTGTTCGATGAAATCACCATTTGAACAATGTTAAGGTCAGGCGAAGGATACTGGGGAAGAAAGCCAGGTCGATTAATGAGGTTGTGAATCTTCATAGGGTGACAATGGCTTGGTCATTTTCTGTGTGTGCCGAGTCACCGCCTACCTCGACGTGTCATGGTACGAGGAGTTGAATTAAGTTGGAAGAGGGTTCACAGTGGCTAAACCAAGAGGTGGCACTAGTCACTGAAGTCTCTTACTGTTGGTCTGAGTCGTATAAGGAGGTATAGACTACCTGGTTAAGGTTCCAGAGGCGACAGAAATCAGTGATTGAGGACTCTTTGTGAAGTGGCCAAAAATCGATCGCAATGGCATAAATGTATTCACTCTTTCCAACGATATCATTCTCTAACTGGACAGTCGTATATGGATACAACATTTAAGTGAAAACGGAAAAGTAAATTTTGCTCTAATGTTTTGTAGCCAATTTCAGTTTCAATTGTAAATCAAGAGATGAGAGACAGAAATACGTAATGCCTAGACTCGTATGAGATGAAACCTATCAAAACCGAAGCCATAATGTCAAAGAATTGAAGGAATTTGATTAGAAACCAAAATTTTAAGGCTGAAAAGATGTGATGTTTGATATGGGGAAAAAATATCCGAAGGGTGAATCTTTCTTCAGTTGGATAAACACTGAAAACCTGGAAGCACCGGATAGGGGATTCGTCCCAATAGGGAACTCCTCAACAGTGTGCACCCATGACCTCATTGAAACAGAATCTATAACATTCGGAAGTAAGAAAGCGGGGATCATTGAACTCTAACCTAGTGGCTCAGTGGCAACTAGCTGGTCGAGGAATCCATTGGTTGTGTCCAATCTCCAGTTATAGGTGTTCACTGCTGAGGGACGTCATATTAGGACAAAACAGCTGTCCATTGCTTCAAGGCTTTCAATGATTCACCAAACTGTCAGTCGGTAACAAATACCAACTGGAAATCAACGAATCCTTAAAACCCTTCAAAGTGAGTCATTTTTAGCATACTGATCTACTATGTTGATCAGCTTGCAGAAAGATAAACATCATATGGAACAGTTAAATAAATACTGAGGCACGCATAAAACACTTGAAGCAATATGACTGAGTAGAATTACATTCTAAGAAGCAAATAAATTTGCTACATCTATACAACAGATAAGCCCTTACTGAGATAACAACCGAAGAGATTAGACTCAGGAAGTACTTAATAAAGTTATATATTGACTGCTTTTTAAAAAAGGAATTAGTGACGAGTTGTGAAGTAAGTGCTGATAAAATCGCCTAGCCTACTGATGAAGCGTCCAGGAACAAACATCGAACTTTGGAAACCATCGAACAGTTATCTTAAGCTACTGGATACTGTAGGTATTTGTGTCAATGTGGGAGGATTCAATTATTTTTTTACCAGTCAAATTAAGAGACAGAATATAAATTAAATTTATCTTTATCGGTCAGATTGACTTATTCACTCAAGTTTCGCGTTTTTGTTATTACAGCTAATTATCGTAAGTGCTTGGAACAATATTAATTTAATCAAGGACGTACAGTAATGATGGGCAGTGGCTAGCAGTGGAATCCAGGATGCGCATTTCGTCCTATTTGAAACTCGTCAGCTGGATGTGCCTGCCTCCTAGTGAGTGATATTGTTCCCACCGGGATTCGGACTTGGAAGTGATTGCTTCAGACATGAGAGCGTTATCCACTACACCACCAAGCCACGATAATCACTTCTTGTGCGACGGGTATAGTTTTAGTGTTATTGCTTGCATTACACCCTCGTTGATTGGACCGAATTGATCAGTCTCTGTTGGCATATGGGCTTCTGTGCGGATGCTTCTATATTGCCCATCATTACTATACATAGTTGAAACACAGGCAATGTCGAGGCATCCTCACAGGAGCCCATATGCCAACAGGGACTGTTCAAATCGGTCAAATCAACGACGGTGTAATACAAGCAATAACATTAATCAAGGACGGTTTACTAGTGCTAGTAGATTCTCAACAAAACTGAATATAAATGTGATAATAACATAATCGTTAGAAAAGTAAGAAAAAACATCATTTAAGTCATTCTGAATTACTTCTGTCCACTGAATCTAATAACATTACTGAACAATTTGTTAATCACTAATACTTTTGACAGTCCAGACATTTTTTCCTAACTTCACTTGAATATCAACAAACTTTTCTTCAGA